TTACCTTACCATTCTGGTCATGTACCTGGTCAACCATGTAATTGTAATGAAAAGTCAACTCTTGCAAGGAAGGGATATTCTCGGCGGCAAACAGCATTATGTGTGGGATTCTCTTGTCATCGTGATCATAAAGGACATTCTGTGCATACAAATTAGGTGAACAACTATGGTTTATGAATCTCCCCAGATTGCCCAACCGTGCGGCATCGATGGTGAAACCGCTGTCCGGCACAACTTGGGGAGAAGTACCTTAATGTGCATTCTGAATTAGTGTTGAAAGATCACTCCAAAGAGAATTGTCGTTGTAATGATTTCCTATATCGAGCAGATACTCGTCGTTCCCTGTTCTTTTTTCGGCTTCACCATCTTCGAGAAGCTCCCCAGCATACTCGCAGATAAAACTTCCCGAAGGGATAGAATTAAGGGATCGAACTCCCCAGCCCTTTGATTCTGTTTTGAAGATTTCGAATTGAAATTTTATGCCATGTTGACTGACTCTATTATAGCAAGAAGCAGGACACTTGCAAGCAGGACCACATTCATATACAAGGGACTTGATTTCAACAATGGCTCCATCATGGTTAAATGGGAGATCTCCTCCGTTTTTCATTACACACGAACATTTCCTAGATTGTGAACATCCATTTACACAATCGCAGCCTTTGGAAGGAAGAGGGCTGCACCAGTTAGGATGTATCATGGAGGTACATACTCGAATGGAGGAGGCTTTTCACCGTCTATGGCATTTATAGCACAAATGGGGATCATCTCCTTTCCTTGTGAAATGTCATGTACACAGAGCCCTTCTCGCTCTTTCGATTTCTTCACAACTTTCCCAGCAATCTCTGGTTGACCTGGAATTCTGAGCAGTTTAAATTTATAGACCAACTTCTGATGTGGTCCTGCTTCCTGCATAAACTCCTCCACCCTATAAAGTCCATCGTAAACATATGTCTTACTTCTACCTTTTGACAAACCAGACGGCCTTGTCTCGCCACGAATCACCCTCACCGGATTCTTTGCAACTATGCTATTTGCCAAAGCCAGATTTCCTCTTTCAAGCTTCTGGTCCTCGGGTTGCTTATGTTTTTGTGTCACTTTTCCTCCCTCACCCATGTACGTCAATACATCTGAGTTACCCAAGTCATCCTCATAGGACCCCGTAGCTATAATACTAGTAGCAATTCTCTTTGTACCTTGCTTTACATAATCTATACCACGTTGAGGATTGCGATGAAGGCCAACAATATTGAGCTCAATGAAGTATTGAAACTCGTCACCAACTTCAACACCAGGAACCAGTCCAATAATCTGTTCACCAGTGTTGACATATCTGCTATTCTCTTTGAGAACCATTGCAGCTCGGCAATCCACCCTTTTAATAAGCTTTCCTTCTTCCTGTAAGAGCTTTCAACAAAAGGCTTGGAATAGGCGTAACGTCTCTCTCACTTTGTTCCTACTAGTCGATGCACCATCAGGACATCCAGTACTGGTTCCACAAGGAGGAAGACTCGCATCATTACTATATGATCTTCGAGCAAAACTATCGTTTGTATACTGATCATCCCACTGGAACGAGTCTTTCTTATCATCAATAACCACTTGGCTGAGTCCTTGATGATCCCATTTCGTGGGAGAATTTTTCTTGTTCTTTCTCTTTCTTTTAGATGAGCCACCAGCAAGGTCATTCCTAGGAGAAGAAGCTTCATAAGCACCTTGCTTTCTCCTTTTTTCAGAATCTGGCTTCATCGGTTCAGGGCGAATTTCTTCTGCATATAGTCTAGATGCACGGCCTTCTAGAGCAATTACATCCTGAAAAGATTCTATCACTTGTTTCACATCAGTACAAATGGTCTTCTTGGAGAGCTTGTCTTTGTTTACCAATGTCATTGGTTTGATACCCTTGTTCGCTAGAGAGGTAAGCCATTTGATTCGCTCTTCTTCGTTCAGAGGTGGAGCATTTCCTCCACAAAATGGAGGGAAGTCTCTCGTGGAGGTGACTCTTTCCTGACGAAATACCACAATTTCTGAAGCTGCAGCATTCTGCAAACAGGAAATTTCGTTTAGCTTAATGTCACCTAGTAACTTCTTTTAGCTTAATGTCACCTAGTAACTTCTTTCATACTTAACCTTATCCACCCAACCAATCAAACAATAATGCTGGGTTTTATGACTCAGAATCTACCTGCCTCATTGCTTGCTCGCTTGGTCTATTGATCGGTGCAGCCAACCGTCCACACCCTGGCGGAAAATCCCGAATTAACATACTCTTTTGATGCAGCACTTCGAGTCATTTGTTGTAAACTACAAAAAATAAACATAGAGAAACAACATAAATATCATTTAACTGCTACAAAATAGAAAATTTAACAATAATTAACCCAATTCCAAGCATCCCTCAGAATGACTACTACCTGCAACCACCAGGTTATCAGAAACCACGGCTTCAATACATACGTGACAAATTGCAAAAACTGAAACTTAGAAAAGAAACAGATAATATCATTAAACTGCAATGAGCTGAAAGATTCGAAACAATTAGCCATGAATAACTAGGTATGGGCATGGATCGGGTTTGGGTCGGTTTTCGGCCAACCCGAAATTTTACATCCTTCACCCGACCCAATCCGAAAAATATATACCCTCCACCCGACCCGACTTTTTGAGATAAATCTGAATCCGACCCAACCCGACCCAAAATAATAAAAAAATTATTCAATAAAAACAGTGATTTAATTGAAAAAAAATAATATATAGAGGGTATTATTATAATTATTCTTAAATATATAAGGTAAAATTATATTTTTCGGGTCTGGTCGGATATTTTTCACCCTAAACCTGAATCCGACCCGAACATCCCCTTTAAAAAACCCGATTTGACCCGACCAAAATCCGATTAAAAAAACCCGACCCGGTCCATCGGGTTCGGGTCCCGTGCCCATCCCTATGAATAACTGTGTAACAGAGTGATGAAAATGAAAATAACCACTTCAATTCATAAAATGCACAAAATGGAACCAATAAAAAGCAACATAAAATTATCATTAAAATGCAATGAATTAAAGATTTTAACAAGAATTAACCTAATTCCCAATTTCTAACCATGGAAAAAAAGGTTAAACAGAACATGATAAAGAAAATGACATCTCAAGCTCATAAATCTATTTTCTCGTAAGCTCTTCAGCTCCTAACAACAATAATCAAGTATTTCAATATTTTAAGCTTTTCCTGTAAACCAAACAGCGCAAGTAAACTCAAATTTGGCATGCATCAAAACGGGAAAACAAAAGGCTACTACTACTTAAGCATGCAAAGAGATAGAGAGAATTCTTCATAATGTTAAGACTAAAAAACCACCAATAGATTCTTAAATTTGGATCAGAAGTGATGAAAACCTCGAGAAACTACGAAGAAATAGAGAGGAAAAGGGAAAAGTTTACCAGAAAATATTTGAGAAGAATAGTACAATAAAGACGATGAGAGGAGAAATGGACAGTTCCTGGTAGTCTGGTAAAGAATAAGCTGACAATAGATGAAATGGTTTAATTCTACCCTCAATCCTTGTGCTCATTGAACTTTTAAAATTTAATCGATCTATTTCTAATTTCAAATACTTTAATTCCTCCATTATTATTTTTTAAATCAAACGATTAAAAAAATAAAAAATATAGATTCAAAAGAAAAATATTAAGTTTAAAAAAACAAACACACATATATAAATAATAGCTAAGATTATAATTAAATTGAATAAAATTATCAGTGACGATTGTATGAAGTAAATTAAAGTTATAGGCCATATAATTAATAATTTAATATCTTGCATTAGAAGAGCTTAGTATAAAAAATTGTTTGAAAAGTAAATTAAAGTCTTAGATTATGTGAAGTCCATTGAATAATCGAGGGTATTTATGTTGTTTTATTTTGTATGAGTTTGAATCTCGACATTTATCTTAGAATGTAATAACTATATTTAAATAAAAGAAATTAGACTGTATAATTAACAACATAGTTAAAGTAATGAAATAAGTTAAAACAATTAAAATATATATATATATATTATAATTGAAAAAAGTTATCAATAATGATCCTATGAAGTAAATTAAAGACTTGGACCGTGTAATTAACAATTCAATATCCCACACTAGAAGAAACTCATATATACACAGATACAGCTCCTCTTTTGGTATTTTGAGGGGAATTTTTCTTAGGGTTAGGGTTCTGCATGGTTCACTCGTCGTCCCCGCCTTGGCGGGGGTTCAACTTTCTTTTCCGCCCTCTTGGGAGAGGCCGGATTATCCGGTTCCTGTGGAGTTTCAACAAGGGGAGAAGAAGGGACGGATTGATTCCCTTGAAGAGGTGGCTTCGCTGTTGTCGAACGCTGAAGAGAAGAATCCTTCCACAAGTATGGAAATTGAGGAAGAGGGCCATTTGACTGAAGTTTCTACTGCGAATAAAGAAGAAGAGATGCAAGTTAATACGGGAGTGCAAAACGAATCTCCAACTAAATCATATGCTGCTACCTTGGTTGGTGATCATGGAAACTCGTTAGGTAATACTGATTTAGGAGATGAAGATGTGGTTCTGCAAGAGGGGTGATGTGCAGGTGGATCGAAGTGGTACTTATCCCATAATCATAATTTCCAACCGCGTTCATGAATCCATTGACTACAATATGCTTTGTTCGATTATCGTTCGCCTTTTGGGTAAGACAATTGGGTATCGAATGCTTTTGAATAAGATCAAAATATTGTGATAACCACAATGCCGTTTCCAGTTAATCGATTTGGATAAGAGTTATCATCTGGTTCATTTGGAATTGGAGAGTGACTACACTCGAATTCTTACGGAGGGACCGTGGATGATTTTTGTATTGCAGCCTGGCACGCACCTTGATCACAGTGAGAAGCTTGTCAATTATAGTGACTTCATTAATAAGGAACTTATTCTGTTTTCCATAGCTGATCTTCAAAGGTCGATTCCTTCCATGGTTGATGGCCTGAAGCCTGGTCAGAGGAAAATCCTTTTCAGTGCCTTAAGAGAAATTTTGTAAAAGAGGCAAAGGTTTCTCAATCTTCAGGTTATGTTTCCGTGCATTCTGCTGACCATCATGGTGAGCAGAGTCTTATGAGTACCATTATTGGAATGGCTCAAGATTTTGTGGGTAGTAACAACATCAATCTTCTTCTTCCGAATGGTCAATTTGGTACTCGTAACCAGGTTAATTGATGTTCATCTTGGTTCTGACAACTGTATCAGTTCTGGCTATCACATCAATATCTTTACTATTTTCTCCACTATCTGTTGCTTTCACAGGGTGGCAAAGATGCAGCAAGTGCTAGGTACATATTTACCAGTCTTTCTTCTATTAATCGATACCTCTTTCCGAGGGAAGATGATGGCCTGCTCGATTACTTGAATGAAGACGGTCAATCCATTGAGCCTTCCTGGTAAATTCAACATCACAGTAACTAATACTTTGAATCGGAACAGCATATGCATGAAATTAATGCCTTCTGGGTTTTTAGGTATGTACCAATCATACTGATGGTTCTCGTCAATGGAAGTGAAGGAATTGGAACAGGGTGGAGCTTTTACATTCCAAACTACAATCCAAGAGATATGGTGGCAAATGTTAGGCGCTTGCTGAATGATGAACATATGGAGCCGATGCATCCGTGGTACAGAGGTTTCAAAGGAACTATTGAGCAAACTGCATCAAAGGAATTTGGTGTCACCTACACTATAACTGGAACAATAGAGGAGGTTAATGAGACCACACTTAAAATAAAGGAACTTACAATACGTCGATCGACTCAAGAATACAAGGAATTTTTGGAATCTATCATAACCTCAAATGATTCATTCATCAAGGTAGTTTTTGGTACTAAGAAATGACAGTTTCTGTTTATTAATTTATGTTTATAACTTCTCATAAAGTTGTGGCTTGTAGGAATTTAAACAATTCAGTGATGATAAAACTGTAGATTTTGAGGTCATCGTGACTGTGGAGAACATGATGTTGGCCGAGCAAGAGGGGTTGCTGAAGAAGTTTAAGCTAACAACAACAGTTAGCACAAGTAACGTGCACTTGTTTGATTCAAGAGGGGTGATTAAGAAATATGACACCCCGGAGGAAATTATGTGGTAAACTATTCCTTATTTTTTTAAGTAATAACTACGTTTAAAATGTTGCAACACTGACCTTAATTTGTGTAAATGCAGTTCTTGAGGAATTTTTTCACTTGAGGCTCGATTTTTAAGGCAAACGCAAGGTAAGGTCACTAGAGTTTTTTTTTTTTTTAGTTTATTGTAATATTTAGATTCAGATGTTGATTAAAAAATACATCATTTGCTGCAGAAACATGTATTAGATACTCTTGAACTGGAGTTGCTAAAAATGGATAACAAAGTTAGGTTTATTCTTGATGTTGTAAAGGGAGACATCATTGTGAACAATAGGACAGTTTGCTGCTCTCTTCCTTGTGCTGAAAGAGAAAGGTTTTACTCCTTTCCCAAATAACAAGAAAGTGGAGGAAATAGTCGTGGCTAGGGATATCAACGGAGAGGAGCCCGAGGAGAACTCTTAGTTTAGCCCTGCAGCAGTTAAACAGATGAGCATGGGATATTATGAACTAAACCTGATGATTGTTTAGCCCTTAAGAATAGTTCTAGACATGAAAATCTAAAGGGTGAAAACAGTGAATCTAGACCTATTCTGTTAGGTCAGGAAACAAAGAAAAAAAGCTCAGGGAATTCATTTAACAGCTCGGGTACTATGTCGCATAGACCTAAAATAGAGCTACCATTCTTTGAGGGGGTTAATCCTAAGGAATGGGTTCAGAAATGTCTGAAATATTTTTCCATTTGTGGTGTTCCTGTTGAGCAGAGAGTAGAGGGAGCAGAGAGTAGAGGTAGCTACTATGTATTTAACAGGCAAGGCTGAAATTTGGTTTGATGGGTATATTATGCAAAAACATCATGTTACATGGCATGAATTTGAGGCTAATCTATGTCACAGATTCAGTGATAGATCTTTTTCTGATATTGTAGAGGAGTTTACTAAATTGACTCAGAAAAGGACTGTAGAGGATTATCATAAGAAGTTTAAGGAGTTACAACTTCATATGCTCTTGCAGAATCCTACTTTGACTGAGGAATTTTTTGTGTCACTTTTTATTAGTGGACTCAGAGATAATATTAAGCATATGGTTAAAGCTTTAGATCCTAAGAATTTGTCTGAAGCATGTAAGCAAGCTAAACTCTATGAACTATCTGTGGAGTTTGAGAATAGAAGGTTGAGGCCTTCTTTTAAATCTCTGCCCTACCCAAACCCTATTACTGTTTCAAAAACATCTTCACTGCCAGTAACTACAAAACCTACAGCAACATCCATTCCTAAACAGAATCTTATTGAGTACAGAAGGCAGAACAATCTTTGTTTTAAATATGGTGAAAAATACCTCCCATGTCATCAGTGCAAAAACAGACAACTGAACATGATTACTGAGGAAATTGATATTTCTCCAGTAGAATTTTTGCCTACATACTCAGATCAGTCTCCACAAACAGAAGAAGAAACCTTAGAAATTTCTATGAATGCAATTACTGGTTCTATTGGTCATACTACATTGAGAATCTAGGGCACTATACAAGGAAAATCATTAAGTATCCTATTTGATAGTGGCAGTACACACAATTTCTTGACTCCTAAATGTGTTGATGCTAACATTCAGATTACTACCCCTCATCCTTTGGCTATCACTGTGACTAATGGCCAACAACTATTCAGTACTTCTAGATGCAATCAAGTACAGTGGCAAATGCAGAGACATACTTTTTTGCATGATTTTAGATTACTTAGATTGGGTGGAAGTGACATGGTTTTAAGAGTGGATTGGATGAAGTTATTTAGTCCAATACTAATGGACTTCAATATTATGATTTTGAGTTTTGATCATAAAAGAAAGAAAATTTGTATTCAAGGAAAATAACCCTCAAATGAATTGCAGCAAATTTCAGGGGATACATTACTAAAAAATAGTGCAGGGGATTATGATATTATGAGCCATATTGTCCTATTGATTATGGCAGGAGCTTATTCTTCTATTCCTATGGAACTACAACATGTATTGGAGAAATACAGCTCAATTTTTGCTGAACCTGAAGGCTTACCTCCTCAGAGGTCTCATGATCATTCAATTCCACTTAAACCTAATGCCACACCAGTTAATCTAAGGCCTTACAGATTTCCTCACAATCAGAAGGCTGATGTTGAAAAACAGATAACTACAATGCTTTCTTCTTCTGTCATTCAACCTAGCATGAGCCCCTTTTCCTCTCTCTGTCTTCTTATTAAAAAGAATGATGCCACTTGGAGGTTTTGTGTGGATTACAGACAATTAAATAGTCTGACTATTAAGAATAAGTTTCCTATTCCTATAGTGGAAGATTTGTTGGATGAGCTACATGGGGTTATTTATTTTTAAAAATTGATTTGAGGTCAAGCTATTGGCAGATTCGAATTAAACCAGAAGATATCTATAAGACTGCATTTAGAACACATCAAGGCCATTATGAATTTAAGGTAATGCCTTTTGGCCTTACTAATGCTCCTGCTACATTTCAGGCCCTTATGAATGAATTGTTTAATTCTTTCCTTAGAGAATTTGTTTTGGATTTCTTTGATGATATCTTGGTGTACAACAACAGTATGACAGACCATGTTGAACATTTACATTTAGTTTTGGAATTTTTGCAAAAGAACCAATTATTTGCAAAACTTTCCAAATGTTTTTTTGGGCAGACTAAAGTGGAGTATTTGGGCCATATTATATCTGCTGCAGGGGTGTCTACAGACCCTAGTAAAGTGAAAGCTATGCATAATTGACCCAAGCCTAAATCTCTTAAATCTCTTAGAGGATTTCTTGGTCTGACAGGGTACTACAGGCGATTTATTAAGAATTATGGCATTATTAGCAGACCATTGACACAGATGTTAAAAAATAATGGGTTTCAATGGAATTCTGCTGCTTATTCTGCTTTTGAGGATCTTAAGAAAGTTATGTCTTCTGCTCCAGTTTTAGCACTACCAGATTTTGCTAAGACATTTTATCTGTAAACAAATGCTAGTTCTGGGGGTATAGGGGTTGTTCTTTCACAAGAGGGAAGACCTATTGCTTATTTAAGTAAAACTTTAAGTCCTTTAAGTCCTAGACACTTAGTTCTATCTATTTATGAAAGGGAATATCTTGTTATTCTATTGGTTGTTTCTAAATGGAGGCATTATTTGGAGAGTAGGCCATTTGTTATTAAAACTGATCATGAATCATTAAAATTTTTGTTGGAGAATAAGTTAACTACCACTATTCAGAAGAAAGGGTTGACCAAGTTATTGGGATTAGACTATACTATTCAGTATAGAAAGGGGAAATCAAATGTAGTTGTTGATGCTTTATCTAGAACATGGGAGGATCAAGCTCATTGTTTGGCTATGGGAGTGACTGTTTTGGTTCCTACTTGAAGACAGCTATAAGAATGATTATATAGCTCAAAATTGGATTTCCATTCTAACTATTAATCCTCCTACTGACAATAAATGGAAACATTCTAAGGCTGTTCTTAGATATGATGGGAGAGTTTATATTGGAGCTAATGGAAGCCTTAGGTTGAAAGTTATACAGACTTTGCATGATTCTCCTCTAGGGGGACATTTTTTGGTGCAAACTACATATATAGGATTAGGTCAAATTTTTATTGGCCAAATCTTAAAGCTATGGTTAATACATATGTGAGATGTTGTGAAGTTTGCCAGCAAACTAAGGTGGAACATGTAACAAAACCTGGTTTGCTACAGCCCCTGCCTGTTCCTAATCAAGCATGGGAAATCATTACTATGGATTTTATTGAAGGATTGCCTACTTCCTTCAAGAAAAACTGTATTTTGGTAATTGTGGATAAATTCACTAAATACAACCATTTTCTGCCTCTATCTCATCCTTATTCTGCAGCAGAGGTTGCTAAGCTCTACCTAGACAGTGTTTATAAACTATATGGCCAGCCTAAAATGGCAATTTCTGACAGAGATAAGACCTTTACTAGTTTGTTTTGGAAAGAATTGATGAAACAATTGGGTACAAGGACATTGTTCAGCACTGCTTATCATCCTGAAACGGATGGACAAACAGAGAGGGTCAACCTGTGTTTAGAACAATATTTAAGGGGCATTTGTTTTTATCAGCCTAGATATTGGGCTAAATGGCTATCTGAGTCATAGTGGTGGTACAACACCACTTACCATACAACTTTAAAATTAACTCCTTTTCAAGCTTTATATGGGTACAAATCACCTATTATAGTTTGGTTAACAAAGTTCAGTCAGTTAGTGAAATTATGACTAATAGGGAGCATATAAGGCAGTTAATCAAGCATCAATTAGAATTAGCTAGTAACAGAATGAAGCAGCAGGCTGATAAAAGTATAACAAAAAAGGTTTTTCAAATTGGAGAATTGGTGTACCTGAAGTTGCAGCCATATAGACAGTCTTCGATTGCCCTGCGAAAAAATCTTAAGTTAGCAGCAAAATATTTTGGACCATACAAAATACTCGAAAAAATAGGTGAAGTAGCTTGTAGACTGGATTTACCTAATTCTTCGAGACTTCACCCTGTATTTCATGTAAGTCTTCTGAAGAGATTCATCGGGGATTCATCAGTGACTGCTACAGATCCTCCTGCCATAGACGAAGATGGTCAGTTGCAAATAAAACCCTTGAAAACTGTGGGAAGATGAATTGTAAATGGAAATGGAAAACCAGTCACTCAGCTTTTGGTTCGATGGAAAAACTTGGATGAATCGAATGATACTTGGGAAGATTATTCGTTTTTGCGTGGCCAGTTTCCTACGTTTGATCCTTGGGTCAAGGCTCGTCTCGTGGGGCGGGTATTGTTATAGTTGGAGAAGAAGACGAAGAACGAAGTAACGAGCAGGATTTGGGAATGGAGAAAGGAGGGTTAGGGATTCTGGAGAAAGAAGGGTTATGGATTCGGGAAAGTAAATTGGGGATTGAAATCAGAAAAGGAATTGAAAAACGAGGGGAGTTTAACTTATCTGATGAAGTGGAGGTGGGCTAAGGGAGTTTGGTACGAGATGGAGTGACCCAGTCAATTGGCCCAATAACTGAACAACACAAGGAATCAGTTTGTTAAGCAATTCAGTTATAGAAGATTGCCAGCTGGCATTACTAGATTTACCAGGATGAATTTGTAACTAAATAATACCTCTTGTGGAGCACATTTCTTCTCTATGATTTGAATGAATAAGAATTTCCTTTCTGTAATCCCTTTTCTTCTTCTTCTACAACCTTTTTTCTTCGATAATTTCTTCTCTTATCCTCAATCTACAACAATGTCTTTGTACAAATCTTTTGTTGATCGAAGCCTTCGTAATTTCATACCATTCGGCTGATCGCAATACCTTGACAAGACTATTGGTAGGCCTGTGTGATTTGTTAGGATTAATTTACTATCAGACGATCGTATCTATTTTTTATGTCAATCTACGAATTATAGTCTTCATAACCTTAGGCCTGACACTTGTAGTAAAGATTAATATATAAACCCCGTACAAGAGTGAGGAAGGAATTTTAAACCCTGTTTCGCTCATTTAGCCTAGTATTATTCATCATCGTTTTCCATTCATATTTTTTTAATAAAATCACTGATTGTGGCTCTTCTTTCAAATAAAAAATGAATCGTTTAAAGTTGTTGTAACCCACATTTTAGTATCAACAGGAACAAATGCACAATATAGTGGAGTCACTCATGCAACCAATGTGTTGATAGAATTGCAATTTGGATGTACATGATTGTGCTGTTGTCTAGGCTGTACATGGTTTGGATACGCATCTCCTTTTCATGTTGAAAACTAAAGTACTTTTTCATATTTAATTTAATAGTATTGCTATTAGC